AGGACACATGGACAACAACTGGGGGGTGTGGAAACGAGGGAGGTGGGGAGGGCTGGAGGGGTGGGCTGGGATGGGAGTAAAAGACAGAAAACTACTTGAACAACAATTTAAAAAAAGAAAATATAGTATATATAGGTGATGCTAACTCCATGTGATCACCAAGAGAAGCTGGTAAAGCACACATGAGGAGAATGTTTTAGCTACTCATCTCAGTTCACAGGTAGCAAGATAAAGAATTAAGGTTGAAACCCAGGGCTTCTTGTATCGTGAACATCCAGGGAAACCTGTGAAGCACTGAATACTTAAGGAACTACAGACTGGCATGATCTTTCTAGAGAGGAACATGGCAGTAGACACTGAAAACCTTAAAATTAATTATCACATGATTCAAAATTTCACTTTTAGAAATTTACCCTAAGCAAATAAGACAATGATGAGGCTGTTCACCATTATGCTATTTCTAATATTTAAAACCAAATATAATTAACTTGAGGGGACTTATTAGATAAATAATGATAAATGATTTAATACCACATAACAACAAAATTTATAGTGTTGAGTAATATTTAGAATCAGAAACTGCCAATGGAATAACATTATAGGGGAAAAAATCAGGATTCAAAATTTTACATAGAGTAAAATCTGACTTTAAATGTAAATATGATTATGGTGTAGAAAAGAGACTGAAATCAATTAACCTGATTGTGGTGATTACCTCACAAAATATGCATATATCAAATCATCACGTTGCACACTTTACAAATATACAATTTTATTTGTTAATTACACCTCAATGAAGCTGGGGAAAAACGAATGTATAAAAAAAAGTCACAAATCAAGAAGAAAGGGGACAGACAACACGCCAGGAAAGTGGGCAGCACACTTGAGTGTGTCCGTCACAAAAGAGGGAAAGAGAGAGACTGGAAAGAAATGCACTTAAATGTCTACTGTTATCTTGGAGTTTAGGATTATGGGTGATTTTATCTTCTTGATAGTTATCTTGAGTTTTCCAACTTTTCCCAGTGGACATGTGTAAGATAGTCAGAAAACGGTTTGTGGATTTGTTCCTGACACACAGAAGCAGTTACTAAATGGTAGCTGATTCATTTAGAACATCCAATAAAAAGAAAGTGAAAATTATGGTTGATCTCACTACCCAGAGAAAACTACTATTTACAGTTTCAGTGATTTGTTTTTACAAATTTACAAAAGTGGCATCATAGTATTTATATTTAACTTTTTAAATGAATATATCATGAGCATTTTCCATGTCAGCAGTTACATTTTTTTACATATCATTTTCAATAAATGCATAATATTATGAGCAATTGTCTATTCAGTCATGCTCTTTCTAGTGGACACGTACCGGTAGTTTGTTGCTCAGTTTTCAATATTCAGTGCTGTGATGAATTCTTTGGAGCATTGCTGTCTCTCCCTATTGTATATTCCATATATTTATGGATATACTAAATCTTTTCCATTTGTTAGAGGCATTAGCAGGCCTGTGTGTGTGTGTGTGCCAGTTTGTGCATTTATTTGTCAAATAGTGATTCTGAGTAAAATGAAAGTTTTGTGCTTAGCCAGGCAATTGAAACATGTCTCTTTACGGTGGCAGGCCTTGCTGTGTGTGAAAGTCTTATCTGATCTGAGGTCACAGTTACCCCTTGTCTATGCCTTTTGTGTGACTCCGTTTCTGCTCAGATTCCCTTTCTGCTTTGTCTGCACTCTGTATTGTGTGCCTCATTCATTCCAGTTCACCACCCACTTAGAACCTGGTAAACGGACTTACAGTTCCTAAGCCAGGCTGTTCAAGGAGTTAACAGAAGCAAAAATTTACTTCGATGTGCATGCACACACACACACTCCTACACTAATGAAAGTTTCAGGAAAATTATTTCAGTCTTGACATTGTACTGCTTGGTAAGGCAAGCTTCCCCACCTCACTTCTCTCCAGAAGTAAGATTATACATTGATTTCAAAGCCCTCACAAAAGAAAAAAAAAAGATGGATGGAAATATCCTGAACATGATTCCCGGAACAAGAGAGAAAGGAAGAGGGCTTGAAAAAATCAAAACAAAACAAAAAAACCTATTTTTTTTCCTAATACCCTTCTGGCTGGGGAAGGCACAACAACAGAGCTACAAAACAAAGTCAGTCGTGTGCGGGAGCCAGGACCCCAGTCTGACCCTTTTTGGTGCAATGGATTCTTGTCAAAGAGAGAGTAGCCTTGTCATAAGTCCTCAGTTACCCTCTATTCTATCACTGTATTTTATTTTCTTTAAAATATTTATTATTCTGAAATAATTTTATTTGTTTATTGTCTCCTTTTCCCCATTACAAGAAATCAGGGACTCTTATCCGTTGTGCCCATTATGAGCCACCAGAAGTTTGTGGTGGAATGCTCGCAATAACTGGCATTGCTACATTCAGTGTCATTCTATTTCTCTTAGCAAGCATGCGGTAAATATTTGTAGGATGAATGAATGAAGGAAGAAATAAAAAAAAAAGGTGCTTAGTGGGTTACCACATATACCTAAATATACATTTTTGGTTAATAACTGGAGGATATAAGATTAGAATCCATGTTTATGATGCCTTCTAACCATTTTTATCCTTGAATTTTGATAGCTATGGAGTTATCATTTATAGACTCAATAACTGGATAGTGAGAATTTTAAAGTAAACCTCTATTAATTTCTTAGGAACACATGGAAATTCTGGTTAGTATTAAACAAAGAGTCCCCCCTACCACCTCCCTGCCATAAACAAGTTTTGAGTATTAGATGTGAGACTCTTGAATACTTTGCTATTGTGATCTGTGAATGGGGTGAGCTTTTTAGATAGAGGGAAGATAATGATCAGATTTCTGTTTATAATAATATAGGTAGGCTCAAGTTCCAACTTACAATACAACACACACATACATAAGATAATTAAAATAGAAATGTAAAATTAAAAAATCACTTAGAGGAATAGAAAAGTAAATACTGATTATTCACAAAGAAAGAATAGTATTATTACAATGATTTAATTCTGAGTTTCCTGAAGAGGCCAAAAGGGAAGTTTACTGATCTAGTATATAATTCTCCAGAGAGGCAAACTTGATTTTCAGGTAGTGAATTCTTTTTTTTTTTTTAACATTTTTTTAATTGATTATGCCATTACATTTGTTCTATTTCCCCCCCTCCGTTCCCCTCCGCCCTGCACACCCCTTCCCCACCATTCCCCCCTTTTAGTTCATGAACATGTGTTTCAAGTTCTTTAGATTCTGTATTTCCCCTACTATCCTTAACCTCCCCCTATCTATTTTCTATCTACTGTCTATGCTACTTATTTTCTGTACCTTCTCCCCCCTTCTTCTTCTCCCAATCCCTTATTGCTAATCCTCCACGTGATCTTCATTTCTATGGTTCACTCCTGATCTAGCTGTCTTCTTAATTTGCTTTTATTTTAGGTGTGGTTGTTGATAACTGAGTTTGCTTTCCTTTCACTGTTCATCTTTTTATCTTCTTTTTTTTAGGTAAGTCTCTTTAACATTTCATATAATAAGGGCTTGGTGATGATGAACTCCTTGAATTTGGTCTTATCTGAGAAGCACTTTATCTGTCCTTCCATTCTAAATGAAAACTTTGCTGGATAGAGCAATCTTGGTTGTAGGTTTTTGGTTTTCATGACTTGGAATACTTCTTTCCAGCCCCTTCTTGCCTGTAAGGTCTATTTTGAGAAATCCGCTGACAGTCTGATGGGAACTCCTTTGTACGTGACAGTCCCCTTATCTCTCGCTGCTTCTAGGATTCTCTCCTTCATTTTAATCTTGGCTAATGTAATGATGTGCCTTGGTGTGTTCCTTCTTGGGTCCAACTTCTTTGGGACTCTCTGAGCTTCCTGGACTTCCTGGAAGTCTATTTCCTTTGCCAGAATGGGGAAGTTCTCTTTTATTATTTGTTCAAATAAGGTTTCCACTCGTGACTGTTCCTCTTCCCCTTCTGGTACCCCTATAATTTGAATGTTGGAATGTTTAAAGATGCCCTGGAGGTTCCTAAGCCTCTCCTCATTTTTTTGAATTCTTGTTTCTTCATTCTTTTCTGTTTGGTCATTTTTTCCTTCCTTCTGGTCTACTCCCTTGATTTGAGTCCCAGTCTCCTTTCCATTACTGTTGGTTTCTTGTACATTACCATTCATTTCAATTAGTTGAGCTTTCATGTTTCTCTAATTTGTGACTAAAATCAACCAGTTCTGTGAGGATCCTGATCACCAGTGTTTTGAACTGTGCACCTGAAAGTTTGGCTATTTCTTTATCACTTAGCTTTATTGGCTCTGGGGCTCTGAGTTGTTCTCGAGCCATTTTTGGGCTGTTTGCACCTGTTAAGTATGAGGAGTGGAGTCTTAGTTGTTTACCAGGGCGGGGCCACCCAGGTCGCAGGTTTGTGACGCCATTTTGTGGGGGCGGGGTCAGAGAGGGAGCAATGGCGGTCCTCTCTGCTTGCCCAGTCCGACCCACTGCTCGCCCCGCCTGTTTATCTGAGCGGAAATGTGTGAGCTGCCTCCTTGCGCCATGGGGTCACAATGCTCGCCTCTCACTGGTTTATATGCACGCAAATGCTCAACCGACTGCAGCCAGCCAGCCTCGCCTCTTCCCTGTGTCTGCCCGTAGCTAGCCTGCACCTGGGATCTGTACCTTTGGCTGCTTGCACACCACCTGGTCGGGGATCTTTTTGGCCAACCCGCTCCGCTGGCCAAAAGCCCCTCTTACCGGTTTAGCTGAGAGGTTTGTTGATTTTGGACTTCGTATTGTCTATTTTCTGTGTGGTTTGGTTGCGTTTATTATTGTTAAAACTTTGTTGTTTTTAGATTTTGTTGTGCGAGGAGGCAAAGTGTTTCCACCTATGCCTCCATCTTGGCGGAAGTCTCAGGTAGTGAATTCTAACATGAAGGCATTTTGTCACCTTTTCTGAATAGTGGAGTCATAGTACGGACATGGCCTTTTGTGTCCCTCACAGGATCACCCAGTATACTCCATACCAGCCAGAGGTGTCTCAGGGCAGACTGGAGAGTTTACTGAATTACCAGACCATGGTGTGTGACATCACAGGCATGGACATGGCCAACGCATCCCTGCTGGACGAGGCAACTGCAGCTGCAGAAGCCATGCAGCTGTGCCACAGGTGAGAGGCCCAGCACGAGACTGTTGGGGTAAGGGACGTCTTCCAGTCTTTTCCTCTGTGTCAAAAGCTCTGATTATTTCCTGAGGATGCATTTCTAGAGGTAGAACTGTTGGGTCATGGTGTGTAGTTACTTAATAACTTCTTTCCATTTCCTCATCTTTTTTCTTTCTTTTCCTTGTGAATGCCTGGTAGAATTCCTGGTAGAATTCTGATGTAGATGGTCATCTGGTTGGGAAATCAGCCCACATTCATGGTATATCTGTCAGAGGTTTTGTACTTCTGGTCTTGAATGCCCAGATAAGTCTGTTTCTTAGCTTCTGCAGATTTGAGAGGTGGTGAGCCCCACACTTGCTCCATAGGTATGGAGGTTTCTAAGTTGCAGTCACAGGCCCTTCTGATTCTAAGTCGCCCTGGGGGTGGTGGGTTCAGGCTCTTTCTCCTGCCATAGATGCACAGCTGTAAAGGAATGCTGCCCACCCACTCTCTGGTTATTATGCTTAGTTTTTCACTTATTTTCCTTATTTATCTTCCTTATCCATCTGCTCTCCCATCTATCACCACAGATTTTGCTAAACGGGATCGGAATGGAACCTCAGTGGAAATCTATTCAGTAAAGGCCATTATTAGTCATTAATGACCCAGTATTTTTTATACTGTCAAAAACACAGTCATCCAAACCTGTAAAGAATTAATAATACTTTATTTGGGTCAAATGGGTGGGATATATTCTAGGGAGCAAGATCTCAAATGTTCAGGAGACTAACAGGATTGCTGCTCCTATTATGCATTTGACATGAAAGAGGAAACAAAGGAAGATCACATGTAGGTGGGAGAAAAGCAAGGCGGGATTGGGTTACAGGATAGTTAACAAGGTTATGTGCTCTCTTGAGGGTGGATATGGCATATTTCAAAGGTGTGTTAACCCAGATGCACAGAGACAGCGGACAGGGCTTGCTTAAAGCAAAGAGAAACCTTTCACTGAAGATGTTGTATGCCTGGGGTATGAATACCTGCCATGATCTGGGCAGTTAGCAATTTATGATCACAATACCCTGTGAGATTACTTTCCATAGAACCCTTTTTTCGTCCATAATACTATGCTCAGACTTTCCCTAAGGACCATCTTTACTTTGCATTCTTAAAAGATACTCTAAATTCTTTAATGTTCATGCTTGAATGTGATTTTCCTTTTTAATAGACACAACAAGAGGAGGAAATTTTTTGTTGACCCTCGTTGCCACCCACAGACAATAGCTGTCATCCAGACTCGAGCTAAGTAATTACTTTTATTCATATTTTGAATAAAATGCTCATCTGAACTGATTTTCTCCCTTCCAAACTGATTAGAGGGTCAACCTGGTGTAAATTGGGGTTGTTGCATTTTACTTTCCCCTCCCACTTTCTTCTCAGGATCTCGCTGGTAAGTAAAATGTGTCAGAATTGAGAAAATAGTGCCTTTAGTTGCCTTTGCTTTATATTATCATGTTTTTTAGAAAATATTGATTGATTTGAGAGAGAGAAATATTGATTTGTCAGTCCACTTGTTTATGCATTCATTGCTTGATTCTGGTAGGTACTTTGATGGAGGATTGAACCCACAACCTTGGTGTATCGGGATACTCTAACGAACTAGGCTACCTGGCCAGGACTGTTTCCTTTTGTGAAAAGAAATTTAGTTAAAATAATTTCAACAATGCTGTGAAACTGAAAGATAGAGGAAAAAATGGAGCTCTTCATTTTTTAATTCCTGCAAACATAGTTGTAGTCTGTTGTTGGTGTAGAGGATGTAGAAGAAAGCATGTTGTATTTTGGTATTGCAATCAGATAAAATAAATACAGCACAGTTACCGCTTGTGGCTGTGTTTGTTTGCTTTCTCCTTGTAGAAGCTGGATAATCTTCCTCTTAACGCATACCACCATCCCTTCAGAAGGGGTTTCTCACAGATGTTGGAATTAGGCGGTTTTAGGAACCTAAGGAAGGGTCTCCTCTTTGTCTTCCTGATGGCTTTCTTTCTAGTCACTTAAGAATGATACAAGGGGAAAGTGGCGATGGTGCTGCTGTTACAAATGTGGTTCTTTAGTCCTAGGAGGTGATGTTTCTGGTCGTCTCTCAGGAGCTGTTATGACAGGAAAGGGGGAGTGGTGGGGTGGCTGAGAAAAACAGAAGCTAAGCTGTTGGGTGCAAGTGAGTTGGTGTGAAAGACTGTTACCACCGAAGGTTGGGGTATGACATGAGTGTGTGTTTGTATGTGTGTATTGGGATGGGGTGGTGAGTGGGCATCGAGAAAGGACACAGAATACTAATGCCGTTATGGAAAAGAAACTAGATAATTTGTTTTTTCCTTGTAAACCAAAAACATGATTGTTTTTTATCTTCTCTCTTTCCAGATATGCTGGAGTCCTCATTGAGCTGAAGTTACTCCATGAAATGGACTTCAGTGGAAATGACGTCAGTGGAGTGCTGTTCCAGTACCCAGACACGGAGGGGAAGGTGGAAGACTTCACTGAACTTGTGGAGAGAGCCCATCAGACTGGGGTAGGCAGACCTCTCCTTGTGGGGCCCAGGGGGGTGTGTCTCAACTTTGAATCATTACTTTTATGTTGGGTGTGGTCTTAATTCATATACCTGTATCACCTGGAATAGTAAAACTCTTTCCCTCCTGCTTCCTTTCTTCAACTTTGTTTTGTTTACCGATTCCTGGCACATAACAGGCACTCAGTGAGTATTTTAAGTGAATGGAATAAGCGAAGTTCACACAATGTGAACCAGCTTGGCCAGCCTGCCTACAGTGGAGGTAATTTGCCACTTTCTCACTGTTTGCAGGGACAATGACAACCATGTCCATTTTCTCTTGTTTCTCCTCTAGACCTTGGCTTGCTGTGCTACTGACCTTTTGGCTCTGTGTATCCTGAGGCCTCCTGGAGAATTTGGGGTAGACGTTGCCCTGGGCAGCTCACAGAGATTTGGAGTACCACTGGGCTATGGAGGACCACATGCAGCCTTTTTTGCGGTTAGAGAAAGCTTGGTGAGGATGATGCCTGGAAGAATGGTGGGAGTAACGAGGTAAGGTGGCTCATGTTTCTCCCTTTTATTGTGGCTCCCATTTTCCTTGCTGCGTTTGTTGATCACAAAAGCTGGTGATTGCTTTTTAAACTTCACTGAGTCATTTGTAGTTTATTAAAGAAAATATACAACATAGATTCAGAAGAGATGATCTGCTTGGGATATGAACTGGTTCGTATACCTCTTCTCAAATGCCATGAGTTTGTACATATTTGAAAAAGTATGAGTGTCATTCCTAACATATTTGTTCTGAGGTCACACACATGAATTTGTTGAGGTTGAAGAAATGCCTTGAGAGACCAAGTATTTTAGGTGTGTTTTATATCTAACTAGCTCTTGTCTTTGAAAGTATTATTGTGTCATAGTGGTATGTAAAGACAAGTGCAAGGAGAGATTCCGCGCCTGTGATTCCCGGAGGCCCGCCACTTGGCCATTGGAGTTGTTTCCCGAAGTACTTTCTTGAGGGCCTCTCCTCATTGAAAATTTAGATGAATGCCATGATTATTGTTGGGAAATTTAGCATGATCTTTTTGACCCTTCATAAAAGCTGATCTATCAATGCAAGGGAATAGTCTGAAGTAGTGAATGATGTGATTGTGATGTGAAGTTTGAAAGTTCTCTCAATTTGCCACAGGATAGCGAAAGGTACGTTGTTTTTTAGTGTAAAATAAGTTTCTTCAAGAATTCTTCCACTTGCTTTTTCCAGTAATGTCTCTTCACCAGGCAAGATGAGGCACAGGGCTTTCTAATTTAAGAAATTTAATGTATTAATAAATTAATGTATTATCTGCTGATTTTTATATTGAACTTCTTACCTTTCTGGAAAATGGATACCAAATGTTGATGAAATAAAGGAGAAGACTGCTAAATATTTGTGGTTATCTAAATTTTAAATTGTATTAGAAAGGGGACATGTTTATTAGAGAAAAGTGGTAAGTCGATTAACATCATTTTAATTTACAGCTATATAGTCCCTTAAGATTTCCAGTATAGAGATGCTGGGTTTTTTTTGCCAGATATTTCCCTCTTTTCTGAGTCTGCCAAGAACCTCAGAGTGAAAGTTAATCCTCAGCCAGGAATCCTAATTCCTGGAAATGTTCCTTTCAAGGTTCCCAGCCTTATTGTTGGTATCTCGGTATCTCAACTCCTCAAAGTACAAACTAAAAATTAGCAATCCTAGTTAGAAGAGGATGATTTGGACATTGTTTTTTTTTTTTTTAATTTTTATTTTTTTTAAATAAATTTATTTATTTTTTTTGAATTGTTTATGCTGTTACAGTTGTTCTATTCCCCCTTCATTCCCCTCCACCCTGCCCCCCCAACCCCACCATTACCCCCCTTTAGCTTATGTCCATGTGTCTCAAGTCCTTTAGGTTCTATATTTCCCATACTATTCTTGCCCCCCCCCCATCTATTTTCTATCTACTGTCTATGCTACTTGTTTTCTGTACCTTCTCTCCCCGTCTCCTCCTCCCACTCCCCTGTTGCTAACCCTTCTTGAGATCTTCATTTCTATGTTTCCACTCCTGATCTAGCTGTCCTTTTAGTTTGCTTTCGTTTTAGGTGTGGTTGTTAATAACTGTGAGTTTGTTGTCCTTTCACTGTTCATGTTTCTTTAACTTCTTTTTCTTAGATAAGTCCCTTTAACATTTCATATAATAAGGGCTTGGTGATGATGAACTCCTTGAATTTGGTCTTATCTGAGAAGCACCTTATCTGTCCTTCCGTTCTAAATGAAAGTTTTGCTGGGTAGAGCAATCTTGGTTGTAGGTCTTTAGATTTCATGACTTGGAATATTTCTTTCCAGCCCCTTCTTGCCTGTAAGGTCTCTTTTGAGAAATCTGCTGACAGCCTGATGGGGACTCCTTTGTAGGTGATTGTCCCCTTAGCTCTTGCTGCTTCCAGGATTCTCTCCTTCGTTTTAATTTTGGCTAATGTAATTATGATATGCCTTGGTGTGTTTCTTCTTGAGTCCAATATTTTTGGTACTCTCTGGGCTTCTTGGATTTCTTGGAAGTCTGTTTCCTTTGCCAGATTGGGGAAATTTTCTTTTATTATTTGTTCAAATAGTTTTTCCACTGGTGGTTGTGTCTTTCCCCCTTCTGGTACCCCTATAATTCGGATATTGGAGCGTTTATAGATGTCCTGGAGGTTCCTAAGCTTCTCCTCATTTTTCTGAATTCTTATATCTTCATTCCTTTCTGATTGATCATTTTTTTCTTCCTTCTGGTTCACTCCATTGATTTGAGTCCCAGTTTTTTTTTCATCTCTATGGCTTTCCTGTGGAATTCCATTCATTTCCCTTAATTTAGCCTTCATATGTTTCTCTAATTTGTGGCTATAGTCCACCAGATCTGTGAGGAAGCTGATGACCAGTGTTTTAAACTGTGCGTCTGAGAGATTTGCTATTCTTCGTCACTTAGATTTATCTCCGGGGCTTTGAGGTCCCCCTGCGACATTTTTGGTCTGTTCTGGCCCTTTAAGTGTGAGAAGCGGCGCCTTGGAGTCCCAGGTCGCTGGGTTGTGACGCTGTATGTGGGGGCGTGGTCAGAGTGGGGAAATGGCGCCGCTGCCGCTGGTCCGACCGCTCACTCCCTCACCCGCGCGCAACCGGGCAACCACAGTCAACTCGCTGCCACCGCCTCCCCACTGACTCCTCCGTAGTCGCTCACCCTGTGGGCCGCTCGGTCGCTCACTAGGTCCAATCCTGGGTTTGGAACCCGTGGGACTGGATTCACGCGTCTGGATTCCGCGCCCGGGTCGACCGAGCTCTCCCCTGCAACTCCTCACCCGACGCCGGCCTCGCCCCTCACCGGTCGGGCCGAAGAACCTGCTGTTAGCGGACTTCCGAAAAGTTCAGTTTTCCGTGCTCTGGTTGTGTCCCCCAACGCTAATATTTAGTTGTCCCTAAACTTGGTTGTGTGAGGAGGCAAGGCACATCCACCTAAACCTCCATCTTGGCGGAAGTCCCTGGACATTGTTTTTTTTTTATGGCCTTGTACCCAAGTAAATTTGCTAAATTCACTTCAAGCTGAGAAGGAAAAAAGCAGGTCAATTTCTGACAATTCCCAGTGCTGTGGTTACCTGTGCTAACTGGATGTTTTATTCTTGGCCCAGAGATGCCACTGGGAAAGAAGTGTATCGTCTTGCTCTTCAAACCAGGGAGCAACACATCCGGAGAGACAAGGCCACCAGCAACATCTGCACAGCTCAGGTAGGTCACCTGTCTGACGCGTCACCTGAATGCTTTACACTCTGCAACAATGAGCTACTCATTCATTCACTGAGTTGTTGACTAACTTATCACCCACTGAACAGTGTGCACACCCAAAATGTTAAGATCTTATTGGTAGAGAAGTCTTATTGTCTTTTCAGAACCAAAATACAGTGCGTTTTACTGGTGGTCTGTGTGTGCATACACTTCACACTTCAGGGTCTCTCGCATTTTTGTCTGTAGGGCGGGTTTATCATGGGTGGTGACTGGACACCTTCTCTTCAGGCTGAGACGGAGGCCCTCCAGGCTGGGGGGAGGAAGGCAGAGTGAGGGTGCTTCAGGTGACTGTGCTTGAGGGGATGGTCCTGACTGGCAAGCTTGTGGTGGTCTTGCGGTTCTCTTACTGGCAGCTTATAGGAGGCATTCCTGAAGTGGACGGGATAAAAGAAGAGGAGTTAATGGGAAGTTACCCAAGGGCTTAGGTCAGGGGAAGCAGTATTTTTCCACATCCAGCCAACGCCTAGGATCAGATGGAGGGCCACTGCTGAGCATATGATCTCTTCTGGGTCTGTCTCTTTCCTTCAGGGTCAGAGAAGGAGAGATCTCACCAATACCTCCATGGGCACCACGGTGCTCTTCCCTCTCAAAGCACTACCAGGTTTTAGAGAGCCTCTCCAGGGAGGCAGTAGATGATAAAGTCTTTGTATAGTTAGTTCTAAAGCCTTTGGTCTTAAGCGGGAAGACCAATAGCTTTAGTGGGTCTCTTGGAAGTACAGACACTTCCCAAAAGTGTCTACATTCTCTTTGGGATTTTTGGTGTAAGAAAGCCAATTCCTGGGTTCTGATATTTTTGTTTTCCTCTTCATTTTCTTTATTGACTCTCCTCGTACTCTCTGAGAACTTTTGAGAGCTGTTTCTTGCTTTGCAGTGGCCCCATAGAGAATCCTTCTTGCAGCCTAGCAAAGAACATGTGTACCTAACAAAATTGGTCTGATACTGAGCATCATCCAACTTTAAAGCACTGTGTTTCTCAGCTGAGTAGAATGTGTTCTCTGTGGTGCCCCTTCCATTAAGGTGGACCTTGAACTGCTGACCTAGCACATTAGGGAAAAGCCACTCTAGTGGGACTAGAAATCTCAGAGAGACCCTGGTGCTGTACCAATGAGGTGGAGGCTGCTATGGGAGAATCAAGTGGACTAGCTGAATAAAGAGCCTGCGATTTGAGTTTGGACAAGTTACTGGGATGATATTGTATGGTTAGAAGACGGCTAGTTGGCAGGGTGTAAGGTGAATAAGCAGATGAGGTACAGGGCCAAAAGGAGGAGATACAGGAGGCAATCCTCCATCCCTTCCCCCAAGTTGACACTCATTTGGTTTCTGACCCTAGCCATCCTCATTTTATCAGTCTCTCCCACCCAAGGTGCCATCTCGGTGGTCCCTTTCTTGCTCCCCATGTAGAACTCCATCACTGAAACATCCCTGGACCTCTCTGCGTCCCTCTCTCCAGGAGATGCCATGCCATTCCTTTCAGTTTTCTGTCACACTAGGACACACATTTACATGTGAATAGTTCCATAAAATCTCAATCCAATGATCAAGAGAGATATGTCGGCCTCAGTAAGCAACCTTGCTGTCCTCAAGGAAAAATCCAGTAGGTCTGGTTTTCCTTTTCTAATGTATTTCCTGCCAGCTCATTTTGGCTTTATTCCCCTGCCTCCTGCATTTTCATCTTTGGTAGTTCTTTGCCACATTTATCTCTTGGTTGTTGAAATTCAGCTTCTCCTGTTTTATTTAAGGCTTCAGGAGAATTGTATTTCCTGAGTTCTTTTAGGTTTGAAAACTTGTATTGCTTTTATCCTTGAAGAACCCCTTTATAATGGTCGCATTTCAAAGTTTAATAAAGTGAGCTTACACTACCTGGGATGCCGTGTTTCCCCCTCAGGTATTCAGGTGTTTTATAAATGGTCCCCGACTATCATAGACAATGCAGGAAATGGGATCATTTTGCTTTGTCCCTGTTTTCAATTTTGGCATCTCAAGTCAAAATAATAGTCCCTTCTACGAATTGTTTTCCATCACGTTGTTGAAGTCGATTCTTTAAGTGCCCTTGTCATTTTAGGCTCTCTTGGCGAATATGGCTGCCATGTTTGCAATCTACCATGGCTCCCGTGGGCTGGAGCATATCGCTAGGAGGGTGCATCATGCCACTTTGATTTTGTCTGAAGGTGAGTCAGATATCTTCTTTAAAACCTTTGGGTATAACAAGACCGATAAACATGAGTAAGTGAAACTGAAAACTTACTACATGTTCAATACTGTATGCAGAATTGAAAGTCAAATAAAAAACTGGGAAGAATATTTTCAACTTCTATGACAGACCAAGTGAATGTTTTAATATAGAGAGCTCTTACTCACTGCCCCATACCATATACAAGAAGGACGAATACGCTGAGGGAAAAATGGGCAAAGGACATTAAATGAAATTTTAAAAGAAGTGAGTATACAAATACATGGTCAATGAACATGCATAATTTCAACCTCACTAATGCTCTGATGTAAATTGAAATGATAAAGTGTTTTTTCTCCCATTACACTGGCAAAGATGAAAAAAATACTGATATTAGTATGACTTCTTTAGGGGCCCTGTACAATATATATCAAAGACTTTTAAAATGTGCCTATCATTTGATCCAGAAATTCTACTTCTAAGAATATATCCCAAGGAAATAATCAAATAAGGAAGTAAAAGGTTTCCATTGAAACACTGTTTACAATAGCACAATCTTGAATATAGCCTAATGTCCAATAATAAGTATCAGTTAAACTGTGGTACCTCTGTAAGGTTGACCATAGACAGCCATTGAAAACACTGATGTCACTAGCAGGAGCAGACTATGTTGGAATAGGGTTTACTTCTTCTCTTCTCTGTGAAACGTCAGTGGCGGAGGAGCAGGTTTCTGCATTGGAAACGGGCGGGTCTCCTCTCTGGTCTAGGTCTCAAGCGAGCCGGTCATCAGCTGCAGCATGACTTGTTCTTTGACACTCTGAAGATTCAGTGTGGCTGCTCCCTGAAGGAGGTTTTGGGCAGGGCTGCTCAGAGGAAAATCAATTTTCGGCTTTTTGAGGATGGCACAGTAAGTCATACCCCAGTTTCCTTTTTTAAATAAATTCTTTACATTTCCATGACTTTTGTCATTAGAAGTTTTCTTCTTTATTTTTGAAAAAAAAAAAACAAAACAATATGGGAACTTTGGGCACAATTAATTTTTTTATAAAAAATTTTTATTTCCAGTGTGGAACATTGTGTCTCCTCAAAGGATGTTTCAGTCTCATCTCTCCCTAAGACTTTATGTTTTCATATATGGGGCTGTTAGGCACATGTTTTCATTTTATTTTAAGACTATATTTATTTTTAGACAAAGGGGAAGGGAGGGAGAAAGGAAAGGAAACATCAATGTGTGATTGCTTTTTCCATGCCCCCTACTGGGGACCTGGCCTGCAACCCAGGCCTGTACCCTGACTGGGAATTGAACCTGTGACCCTTTGCTTCAGAGTCCAATGCTCAATCTACTGAGCCACATCAGCCAGAAGCACATGTTTTCTTACTCTTGTCTTTACCATATGACTTTTCAGGTAAAGGCTATGATAAATGGTATAATAAAGCAACTTAAGAAGAAACAGGTGAACATATTCAGTACCAGTAGGAGTACCCTGCAACCATCAGAGTGTTATAAAAGAGTCCAGAAATGGCTTATAAACCCTGTGAAGTCTAGGGCTGGTCTAAGGCCCCTTTGTCTAAGTGCTAATTTGGTAGCCAAGTTGGTACCCTGATGTTTTAGAACAGCTGGGAGTTTTGTCCAGCACCCCTCTCCACTTTGATCTCTCTTGGGTTTCTCCACTGATCTTGGTGTTCAGAGCTGATGATTTGTCTTTTGTTTTTATTTCTCTAGCTTGGTATTTCTCTTGATGAAACAGTCAATGAAAAAGATCTGGATGACTTGTTGTGGATCTTTGGCTGTGAGTCATCTGCAGTAAGTGAAATAAAAACATGCATTTCTCATGATGACTATTTGAAGTGGTGTCAAAGATGGGTTTGCCTCTTGTAGGCCTGTGTGTGGGGAGGGGGGGGCAGATGTGACACTGGGTGCCTACTGTTAAAATTATGCCACTAACTGTCCCTTGCTACCATGAGTGCTGATAGAGGTTTCTGCTATGTGCCTGGCCTGGACCATGTACCTAGGCTATTTGGAAGGTTGTTCATCATATTTAATCAAAACTGCCCCTAATACACAGATTTATGACATTGGCATATTGGTTATGTCTATTCTGGGAAAATCATGGTACTCACTCATGCAACAGATATTTATCGAAGACCTAATATGTGCCAGGTACTATGTTGGGCCCTGAGGTAGTGGTGAATTAGATATGATTCCTGCACTCATGGAGCTTATATTCTAATGAGGATTCAAACAAGCACAAGATTCCAGTCCATGTGATGTTATGATGGGTGATGTCTGAAGATGCTCTCTGAGCACAGAGGAGGGATTTCTCACTGAGATTTGGAAAAAATTGTTCTGAGATCTGAAAGATGAGTAGGGGTTATCTAGACTTAGATGGCATAATTGAGGCGGGAGGTGAGGCCAGAGATGTTCCAGACCAGACAAAACAGCCACAAAGGCTAGGAGGAGAGAGATTACTGAGAACCAGATGTCGTTAAGTGTGACTGAGTTGGTTTCTAAAACAGTGAACTAGCAGGGAGAGTGAGGAGAAAGTCTACAATCCCATGGAATGAGAATGAAAGAGAGAGCTCTCAGTAGCTACCTAGACCTGTGGCTGGGTGCTCATCACTACAAAAGACACAGCCTGGCGCAGAGAAAGCACTCAGTAAATACTTGTTGAATGAATCCATGAGAGGAAGCACTTACTAAAGAAGTTGAAATAGGCTCAGAGTACACGCTGGCCGGAGGCCTGGGTGTCCACACGTAGTTCCAGGCACAGTTCCTGCCCTTTCGTTTCTGTGGTTTTCTCCATGCAGGAGCTGGTTGCCGAAAGCATGGGGGAGGAACGGAGAGGTGTTCTAGCCACTGCCTTGAAGAGAACCAGCCCGTTCCTCACAAATCAAGTGTTCAACAGGTTTGCATGGCTAGTGTGATTTCTGCATTGTGTGGCTTCTGACTTCTGTGTGACATGGATGGGTCATTGTGGCTGGGATGGTTAATAAATCATCACCATAAGGGTCTCATTGCTGGTTTGGGGAAAGCGCACATTATTTCCTCTTGGCTCAGCCCCCTTGGCAAGGGAACCCCTAATTCTACTCGTCAGGAAGAAAGGAGTTTAGATGCACAGTTACCAGTCTGAAGAGCATACCCAGGAAGCTGACTTTTTTTTTCTTCCCAACCTTCCCCTCATGCTCACAGGCAGCTTCTTGTCCCGGGCATCAGCTGAGGGTCATGGGGGTTCCAGAGCCTTCCCTCTGATGCTCTGTTGCCAGGTTGGCCCAGTTTGATCTGTATGTTAAAGGTCAATTTCAGCCCTGGCTGGTGTAGCTCAGTGGATTGAGCACTGGCTTGTGAAGCAAAGGGTTGCTGGTTTGATTCCCAGTTAGGGCACATGCCTGGGTTGCAGGCCAGTTCCCCAGTAGGGGACACATGAGAGGCAACTACACATTGATGTTTGTCTCCCACTCTTTCCCCTTCCCTTCCTCTCTCTCTAAAAATAAATAAATAAAATATTTTAAAAAATAAAATAAAGGTCAATTTCAGTATGTCTAATTGCTCAGGAGGATTCTGATCTAACCGTGTCAGCCTAAGTCATGTGTTTTGTGTTCATAGCTATCATTCAGAAACAAATATTGTTCGATATATGAAGAAACTGGAAAACAAAGACATTTCCCTTGTTCACAGTATGATTCCACTGGTAATTACCACTTTTACCCCTTTTTCCAACCCCACCCTGATCCCACCTTTTTGGGGTGCATCTAACACGCTACCAGAGGGATGGGTGGCCATGTGGGGAGGTTGAAAGGCTGATCATGCGGACCACGGGAAATCACTAATGTGGTATTTTGTCTGTGCTTCTTAAAGGGGTCCTGTACCATGAAGCTCAACAGTTCATCTGAACTTGCAGTGAGTATGTCACGTCTGTTAAAAAGGAACTTGTTCTTGCACACAACTAGAGAAAACTGCTACTGGGACTGTGATTCAATAACTGCTTTAATAATCCTGTACCTGGCTGTTCAACAATCTTGGCAGAAACCCTAATTTTACTGCTACCTGATCACTTCAATTCATGAGTCAAATTATTTTTAAATATTAAAATAATTAACTATATGTACTTATATATATAAAAATCCCTACCCTCCCCACCCTCTTTTGTTAAGCTTGATACATTGAAAGCTTCCATTTTTATCAATTTGTAGTTAAGCTCAGAAGCAGCTTAGGCCTTCTTTCTAGAAAGGGTAGAGATTTGAGGTTTTGGTTTATTGTGTCATCAGAAGGCTTGTGTAACCTGCTGCTGTGGCTGGTAAGCATCTCTTCCAGGTTAGGATCCAGTTAGCAAAGTTTCATTGCTCCTTTTATTTCACAGGATTGTTCTGATGTGACAAATCATGTCAGGCAAAAGAAATTATTTTATTTGTGACAGGAAGATTTCCTCCACTTGCTTTACTGTTGTTCTGTTCTGCTTCATGAAGAGATGATCATATATCTGCCATTAAGCATTCGAATAAACTATACTTGAAACAATTCATTGGGTTTCATGGTTCTAAAGCTATTTCCAATCTTTATTGTCTTTAAAAAGATAGGAAAAGGTTATATTTTGCACAAGTTCCCTTTCTGGGGCTCTGCGACTCACTTGTAAGAGGAAGACAGTAGTAGAACTTACCCTGTAAGCTGGTGGGAGTTAAATGAGAGGAACACATTTTAAGTGCTGAGAATAGTGTCTGGCATGTAATATGCATTCTGTATTAGATGCTGTGTTTATCCTCCTCCTCCTCATCAAAATTAACATTGTTACTGCTGTTACAATATGTATGTGTGCATATGTTTCCTCTTTTCTTGTTCCTCAGCCAATTACATGGAGTGAATTTGCCAACATCCACCCCTTTGTGCCTTTGGACCAAGCTCAAGGGTACCAGCAGCTTTTCCGAGAGCTTGAGAAGGATTTGTGTGAGCTCACGGGCTATGACCGAATCTGTTTACAGCCTAACAGGTAAAGGGCTTTTTTCTGTCCTGTTAGTTATTGCTTGTGGTGTAACACCCATCTTAAAACTTAGAGGTTTGAAATAACAATTTCATATCGTTCTGAGAGCTGAGTAGACAGTTGCACTCGCTGGGGAAGATGACTGAAGGTCGAAAGTGGCCTCATTCACATTGCTGAGAAGTTAGGGACGAGCTGTTGGCCGGGAGGAGTTAGTTGAGGACGTTGACCTGGGTCTTGGTTCTTCCCTGTGTGGACCTCCCCATGTGGTTGCTTGACCTCCCTCACAGAATGATGTCAGGTTTCAAAGCAGAGTGCTCTACCACGGCAGGATGTGGGAGCTGCAAACCTCGAGGCTCAGCCTCTGCAGTTACTCAGCCTTACTTCCAGAACATTCTGTCTGTGAAAGCAACAACACCTGGGTGTGAATGTTGAGAGTCGTGGTTCCTTGTGGGACATCTTTGGGAACTAGTTACTACACCTATCAGTGACGTAGATCAAGCACACATGTCCACTCCTATGAAGCAGCAATGTCTCACTCTGGTGGGGCCAGGAGAACCTGGGTCCTGGCTTGTTCTGCCACTCACTTTGAAAGTTCCTTTCCCCTCTTCTGGCCTTGGTCTTTTTGTCTGCAAAGTTAAAAACTTTGAAGAACAGTGGTTTTCAAACACAGAGGGCTCTAGCAACATCTCCTGGGTACTTGTCAAAAATACAAATTCCTGGGCCCCACTGCTAAGCTACTAATTACAATGTTCAGAGCTTGAGAGTAAAGATCTTTATCTATCTATCTTCTCTCTCTCTCTCTCTCTCTCTCTCTCTCTCCAAGAGAGAGGAGAACGGAGGGAAAAAAGAGGGAGATAAACATCCATGTGTGCTTACCTCTTGCACTCCCCCCATCGGGGACTTGGCCCCCAACCCAGGCAAGTGACCTGACTGGGCATCGAACTGCTGACTCCCTGATTCACAGGCCAGCACTCAATCTACTGAGCCACAGCAGCCAGGGCAAATCTTTCTTTTTAAGGAGCAACAAAGTGATTCTGATATACAGCCAATTTGGAATCCTTTGTGTTTGGGATCACTCTGTCTTCATGGGAATACATAGATAAATAGACAGACAGACAGGTATGTTATCAGTGTGTGAGTTAACATCCTAGGATATTTTCAGAAGAGGAGTTGGTATCTACCCCTAGGTTCTCTACCTCCCACTACTCCAAGTGTAATTAATTCTCCACCTCAGCATTGGCATCACCTAGGAGCTTGTTAGAAATGCAGAATTCCAACTTTATGGTACAAAAATCAAATGATTTAAAAACAGACATTTATTGTCTCACTTTCTGAAACATAGTAATCAGGTCTTAATCAGATATGATCAAGCTCTACCTACTGTTTTGTAACAAAGCCATGTACTTTGTAAAAAGAATATACCCTATAAAACATCAGCCACTGAGAAAGAGGGTATGTGGCAAGGGAAAGGACATGGAGCTCTTGTAATAATAGCCTCTCCAACCTCATTGCATAAATAGGAAGGAACTGACATTCATGAAACTTAGACTTCAAGACTTCAGTATACGTTCATCAAAGTGTCGTCATTCAGCTTTTTTTTTTTTTTTTTTAAATATGATGGGAACCTGATTGAATTGTTAACCTCAGGCAATGATGCTTTATTAAATGTTGACAATGAAGAAACTTTGCCCTCTAGTGATGGAATATGAGCACATCTTCAGTGTCATATTGGAGAGTAATTTTTTAAGACCAACTTTTAAGTCATTCCTGTTGCAGTAAATTGAGGTCTGAGGTCCCGGCCAGAGTCCCCAGAAGGTTGACCTAAGGATGAGGAAGCTTGCCTTCCCTTAAAGCGATTGTTTTCCAACCTTGCCTAGAAATTAGACTCACATGGTGAGTTTATAGAAGTTCAGATATCCAGATCACAATCCCAGATGCAGTCATCATCTCAGTGGGGAAAGACAGTGAGTATTTCTTTAAAGCTCCCCAGGTGATTCCGACTTGCAGACAAAGTTGAGAACCACTGTCCAGAAGTTTTCTTGTTTTCCTTTGTATGTATTCCTTATGTTCTTTCTCTGTCCTACTCTCCTTACTCATAGGATTGGCAGCCAGAGTCAGTAACACATGTCAGTCTTGCAGGAGGGAAAGAAATGTTTATCAGTGTGTAGTTGCTGGCAGTGATGCCTTCTCCAGCTCCAGAGATTCCCAGATAGAGCACGCATTTCCAAGAGAGTGACGGGGCTGTTGGGGCTTGGATGAGGGATATTTCTGGTCCTGAGCAGTGGGTGCTGTGATAACTGGGGACATGCTGCCTTGTTCTTTGTTGAAAAAAAAAGGGGGGCCCGGCTTCCAGTGAGCAGGGTGGATTGATGTCATCATTTGGGGGAAAGAGGAAGGAATGCACTACATATGCTATATGTGAATGATCTGTTACAGGTCTGTCTTGGTTTTTAGTTTTGCTAATGTTCTCTCCACAAGTGGAGTCACCAAAAAGATTTTGAATCTAAAAATATTTCCTTTCCTTTTTGTTATTTTGGGAAAATGAAAAGATAGTTATGGGGTAATTTTTAGGAATATTTTTTATTGTTATAAAATATGCATACCATAAAATTGACCACTTTACCCATTTTTAAGTGCACAATTCAGTGGCATTAAGACACCCACTGTGTTGTGCACCCACCACCACCAGCCTTCTCCAGAGCTTTATCTTCTTTAATTGAAGCTCTGCGCCCATTGAACAGTAACTCCTCACTTCCCCCTTTCCCCAGCTCCCAGCACCGACAATTCTATTTCCTGCATCTATTAATTTGACTTTTCTAGGTACGTCATCTAAGTGAAATCATGCAATATTTATCCTTTTGTTTCTGGCTTATTTCACTTAGCATAATGTCTTCAGGGTTCATCTACATTGTGGCCTGTGTCAGTATTTTTTTCTATCATTGTTAAGGCTGAATAAGGTTTCATTGTATGTGTATGCCACATTTTGTCCACTCATCAATGGACTTTTTAACCTTTTGGCTGTCGAGGATAATGCTGTTGTGAACACCAGTGTACAAACACCTGTTTGAGACTCTGCTTTCAATTATTTTGGGTATATACCCAGATGTGAAATTGTTGGATATATGATAATTCTCTTTAATTTTTTTGAGGAACTGCCATACTGTTTTACACATCTATGCAGAGGCATTGATGGAAGGGGGTATATGGAAGGATTTCTGAAACATTTATCTCTAGGTGGCAAGTGACTTTACTTTTTGTCCTTATACTTTTTCAGATTGCCAAAACAATTTTAAATTGTGATATGTGTTATTTTTACAACAAAAAGTTAATTAATTTTGTCATGGAGAACATTCATATCACAAAACAAATGTATGATAAGATGCTTTGCAGGCTGATTTCCATGCTGGGTCTCTCCCCAAGGGCTTCTCCATCAGCTGATGCCATGATGGTAATGGCCTTGAGGCTTGCCCTGTGTTTGAAGGCATACCCTTCAGCCTTCCTAGGCAGCAACCAGTACTCATAAGTAAAGTGAGGACAAAGGAGTCATGCTCAGCTCAAGTTCTGTAGAATAAAGTAATATTTAAGATCATGTGGATTCAACATATAGCTCTCTGGTTCCAAAATGCTTCAGTAGGAGAAAAGCAATTTTCAGGCATGAACCTGCGTGTTTCTGCAGGTGACCTTCATGCCTCTGTTTCTGGGCCCTTCCATATACTGTCTTCTGATCTAGTGTGGTTCTCTGTCTGTAACAGTTGCTGCCTAGATAAAGACCGCTGCGGGGCCTTTCTGTTCAGTGGATTTTTTTCCTGGAGGGAATTCAGCTTTTCAGAGGAAAGATTAGAAATGGGAACAGGAGAGGCCTGTAAAAAAAGCTGTTATGTGGCTTCCTCCTTAAGTGGTGATGTAGGTTTCTCTCCTATACAGCAAGAAAGGGGAAGTTATTGATTTGATTGAGATTTAATTGATAAATGGCCAATAAATATAGATGATGATAAGATTTTATATCTACTGATTGTGGCAGGAAAGGAAAACCTTTGTTCCTGCAGCCAGGTCTTCACTTGGTCTTTCTGTTTTCTGGGATAGTTAGATCTCAAAGGTGTTTAAGGGATTTGAAACAAAATTGTCAGGAAGCTTGTCCCTATTTTTCCTGTTTATTTGCTTAATCTACAAACCAGAACAGCTTTTTGAACAGCCTTTCCAGCTCGGTGGAGTACATAATCAAACATTTAGTTACCTTTCCGTTTCCTGTTGTGCGCCTTGAGGCGGTTTCAGCTGTTCCTCACCTCTAAGCCACACACTCAGACTCATTCAGCACAAACACACTCTAGGAACTGGTGGGTTAGGGTTGTACATACTGCCATGTTTAAGGCAGACAGAAACAGTAGTTAACACCTTCCAAGGATATCTAAAAGGAAAGACAATCTAAAATTATTATTAGCTCACTTGGCTTGTAAGAGTGAGGAAGTTGTTTTTATGTGAGTGTAGCTAGATCTGGCAGTTGCTTTCCCGGAACCTCCTCCCAGGAAGGTTCCTCAGCGAAAGTGTGAACAGGCATCATCAGTGGCCCTCAAACCGTTGTGCTTGGGGTGGCGGGGAGGTTTGTTGAATTACTAGCCCTCCTCCATAGTTTCTGATTCAGTGGTCTGGTAGGGGCGCGATAATTTGTATTTCTAACAAATCCCAGACGATGCCGATGTGCTGGTCTGGCCACCACACTGTGAAACCACTGGGGTTGCGGGATGCTCAGTCCAGAATTACATGGGGAGCCCTGAAGAGTACTGATGCTCCAACCAGACCCTGGCCACACCCCCGAAACTAAGCTAGTTACATCAGAATCTCCTGTGGTGGAGCCCCAGGCATCACAGCTCCCCAGTGATTCTCAGGTGCACCGTTGGGTTGGAGAGCGTATTGGCCTGAGGGAACTCCCAAGAGGACTGAGTTTTGAAACTGACCTTTGAGTCCACCACAGGTCATATGCATAGTTTACAGCAGAGAAGTCAGGTGCCTGG